ATATTTTTGCAGATGAAAATGAAAATGTCTTTGTTGTTGATGAGGGTAACCAGCGAGTCCAATTTTGGACAAAAGATGCCAAAAGTGGAAAAACAGTAGCGGGAAATGGTACTCGTGGTTCAGCATTAAATGAATTTAGTTATCCGTTTAGACTTGCACTCGATTCAAAGAAAAATATATTCGTTGCCGATTTGCAAAATCAACGTATTACAAGATGGCCATCTACATATGATCCCAAAAAATCTGTTGGAACAACTGTAGCAGTAAGTTATTGATTTTAACTTCACTAAACGAGATTGACAAGAAATGATTGAAACTGTTAAGTAAAGCATCAGGAACAAATATGAAAATTTAAATATTTTTATAAATGGTAAATTTTTCATTATTGTTCTAGGGTGGTAATGGTGCAGGTCTCAATCCATATCAATTATATAATCCAACTGGTTTATATTTAGACGAACCAAATCATATCTTATATATATCAAACGAAGAATCCCATTCAGTAATACAATGGGATATGGAACCTTATGGAAATCGTAATATATATGCCGGCATCCCTGGACGACCCGGTAATAGTCCAGCTCAATTAAGCAGTCCTCAAGGTCTGATTCTTGATAAGTATGGTAATTTATATATTACTGATTGTGATAATAATCGAATACAAATGTTTTGTCCAAATGCTGTATATGGTATAACGATTGCAGGAACAGGTCAAATCGGTAATGGCAGTAATGAATTACATTTTCCACATGGTGTAGCATTTGATTCAGAAATGAATTTATATGTTACAGATACATATAATTATCGTATCCAAAAGTTTGAAAGAATACAATAATAGCCAGCTATTGCTCGATATGATCTTTAAAAGAATATTCATTACTTGTATGTAATGTAATTATTTTAAGAATAAATATCGCATCGAAATTAACCATACTCATTATTTTTCTCAACATCTATCATTACTGTTGATACTCAGTTTTTTCGAAAAGTTGAAAAGTTTTTAAATCAGACCTAACTTTTTATTGAGCATCGACAAAAACACATTTACAATTCTCTCGCATTCTGAGCACAGGTTTTTTGTTGTATTCATCGTTTGATTGAATTACAGTGGGTACTTTTTGTATGATAAGCTCAGAAGAAAATGCTTGTGTGAGTTTAAATAACGAACCATTAGAAGATTGAGTGATCTGTTTAGCATTCTGGTATGAATAGACCAACATATTTTCAGATATCATTGTTTACGGCAATATAAATACTTTTTTATATACCCAATTGGAAAAAATATTCTTCCAGGGGGGTAACACCATCATTTTGAATAGAATAAATGATGAATTTTATACCAAATGAAAGCCCGTGAAAAACGGGATTTATTGATACTAAATAGTAGGGGTTATGAAGACCTTTGTCTATTAAACTCTCGAAAACTATAATATGTCAGTGACATAAACTAAGAGAAAGCTTATCTTCGAAGTGAAATTCAAATTAAATGTGTTCCAGAATAGTTTATTTCTTCAATATTAAATGAATAGAGTCAATAATGCGTATGACGACCATTAGCGTTCTNTTGCTTTAGAGAGAGTATGCTGAACTTTCAATAACGTCGGCTGATCGACTGTTTTGTCTGCTCATGGAGCTCTGAAAGGTTATTTTCAGCTTCAGTATGTGACGCTGCATTTCAAAACATAAATTAGCAGTCGATCAGCTAGAGTTATCGAAAGACAAGCATACTCTTTAATCCACGATATGTGAGATTTTTATTAGTCTTTCTGGTTGCCTCCAAATTTTGTATTGAAAACAGCATCAGAATTAGATTTGATATTCATATTCTTGTAGAGCTTGTCGAACTCTATCGAATCATATGAAAATATCTAGTAAAAGCATGTAGAAAACAATGTTTCATTCGACTTAAATGACTCAAACATTAAAGAATTTTTTTTGTTTTTGCAAAAATGCAACGTGTTAAACGCTTAGTCATCATGAATAAAATGATCATAACTACGACACAATTTCAACCATTTTTTTCAGATGATAGCTCTTCTCATTCTCTACAAAACTGTATATTTCAATCAACTATCTATATATGTATTCATATAGATAACGTCAATTTACAGAGAGGGATCGAAACTTATGGACCACCCTTTAGAAGTCTTCAAGGCAATTTCCGATATTGAATCATTGCTGGTATAATCTACAACTGTTTATATGCGACAATAAATCCACGTTGAGTACATTAGTATATTCGAAAATGAAAGTAGGTTTACAATTAATAGTATAATTATGAAAGAAACACTTGTTCAACAATAAAAACGTACGGCAAGCAAAAGATTATGCTGAAAATGGCAGAAAATACAGGACAATTTTGTGCATAAGTAGATCTCAGATTATTCTGAAAATTTCAGTCTCAAGATATGTCTTGTTCTTGAAATATCAAATGTTGCAAACATTGAGCTTTATTATTATTCCTTATGGCTCAAGATTGTTTTTTGGATATTCGATATGTCATGAAGACCACATTCATTTCATGATGAAATTTTCAGGACATTCTAACGTTCATAAGATTTACTTATGGAAAAAAATGTCAAGTTGATCTTAGATTTTTTTCACTAATATCTTGCTAGATATAAAAAAAAATTAGTAAAACTATAATAACTTGGGAAGGACAGTGTACTGGAACGAACACTGGTAAACTTCTTCTAGTCTCATCGAAGTTTACTAATGAGCAAAATATCAGTTCGATTTACACGTGAGGATCTTTACTCGTAAGCGAAACTATTCTTATATTATCTAACTTAGTACCTTAGTGAATACATTATTCTAAATATTTAATCGAGTAACTTATTGAAAAATTTTTCATAAAAAGCCTAGACAAGTACCCGGGTGAATACCTTATCCATATCTATGTGCTAAGACAATTCTCAGTAGGGTATCTTTTTCGAGTAGTCTGTTGAATTTTACCCTAATACACGGGTACTTCGAACCCAACAGTAAACATACTTTTATTCTATATAGTTGCTTTACACAAATAAAAGGAGAAAAAAGTCTATTATCGTTGTTTGTTTCGGTAAGCCATGTGACACTGAGAAAGAAAAAGTATTCTGTTCTTTTTTTTATTTCTTCCATTAACACACATCTTACCACACATATCATTCTTGTTTTTTTTCGTATTAAAGATGGTCGACCACCATACGCATCATCATGATTGTGCAAAAGCAAATGCCGAACATTTTTCAAAACTAGCACAAAGTTATCGTAATGAATTGTCAGCTGAAATAGCAAAACGGTGTGCAGCAGTTATTCTTAAAAACTATCCATTTGATTCAAACACAACCGAAGTACTTGATTTTGCTTGTGGACCTGGTCTTATTGCATTTGAACTTTTATCACATGTTAAACGTGTCGTTGGTGCTGATTCAGCACCAGGAATGGTAGAAGTTTTTAATCGTAGTGTAAGTGTATAAACTACTAGTAATTTATTTTAGAACTTGGCAAAAAAATTTTCTATCAATAGGTTGAAGAACAAGGAATATCACCAGAAAAATTACATTGTATTAAAATCGATTCTCTCAAAGGTGATCAATCAAATTTTGATGGATCACTTTTTGATGTTATTATGTATGTTAATTGAAATAAAAATTATTTTATTTTATTTTATTTTAACATTATAGTTGTGTACAATCATATCATCATTTTGAAGATCCATTGCATATGACTCGAGTATTTGCTAAACATCTTAAACCAAAAGGACGTTTGATGGTGATTGATTTTGCTAATGCTGGAGATATTGAAGCTGTTTTTGAACGTCTACATGGACATGATCATGTAGTTGCTCATAAACATGGTAAGATTTTCTGTAGATATTTTCTTTTTTTGATTGAGTTGTTTATTTAATTTCAAAAGGTTTTTCATCTGAACAAATGATTGATATGTTTAAAGCAGCAGATTTACAAAATCCTCAAGTTGAGGTATTTTAAATTGTTTTTCTTTTTAAATTCTTATTAAATATAGTCATTTTTATTCTCTTTAGGATATGTTCACAATGACTAAATCTGAAATGAAGAATTATCAAGGTCATGAATTCTTTACCAAAGTACTGGATAGTGATGTTGATTTTACATTCCATTATTTTATTGCTTATGGTGATAAAGCTTAATATTATGAATATATTTAAGTATTAATTTCTTAAGAGACAATGATTTATAAATTGAATCACCTATTTTGAACTAATAAAATATTCCTACACATATATTTGTCTTTGAAATTTCATACAATAAATAAAGATTGATATTATTCTAAATTTTAATCATTTAATATGAACATACTACAGAAATAATTGAAATAGGATATAAAATATGAACAAAATGTTTTATCTAAAGCAAAAAAGGTATTAGCAAGATCTTCTATTTGTTGACATAGTATGAAATGATGCAAAGTTAAATCGAACGATCTCATAGACTTGTTTTTTAAAGAATTTTAGTATCTGTCCATCAACCAACGGTAAGAAAAAGAATTAAAGTAATAATTTTTGAAATCAATATAATTCATGTAAAGTAAGCAAGTAAGATTTCCATTTATTATATATTTTAAAAAATATCCAAATTTATTGATTTTTTGTCAACAATAAGTAGTCAATTGTTTCATTTGAAGTTTTCGAAAAACTGATATATGCAAAGCAAACAAAGCTTGAAAACATGGTGAACTATTTAGTTCATAACGAATAACATAAATTCAAAAATCCAGAATTTATTTATGACAATAAATTTAATAGAAATCAAACTTTTGGCATTCAATAACCAAACTATTAACGTAATGAATCTTTCTCGTTTATTGAATAAACAAGCAACATACAAAATGACATCGATTGAAGACATTTGAGTATCAATTGTAGGATATTCATCTATAACACATTATAAATACGTATGATCTCATTACTAGAAAGGCAGATCAAATAAAAAGAATATGAAGACTAGTTTTGAATACAGAAAAAATAAACCTACGAAATAATGGATTTTATGGATAATAATCAATCAGTGTCTATGTATGAGGTAGAAAAATTAATAAAAAAGATCTTTGTTATATATATATTTTTTTTTTAAACAAATTTTTTATAGGCAGCAATTGATGGTAATGAACAATACTTTGATAACTTGCTTTTAATAATGAAAAATAATGGCTTATCTATAACAAGTATCAAAAGTAAAATTGAAAAACTTGATTATGAACAATATTCAGTATTACATTATACTATTCGATATAATCATTTGAATTTATCTCGAAAACTTATTGAAGAATTTCGTATTGGTATTTAATATACTGACATATCTAATTGATTTTTTATTTTATATTCATATAGATGTTAATCTTGTTGGTCGTGATGGTGAAACACCATTACATACAGCAGCTCGCTATGAGATATATAGTACTACGAATGTTCACAACAAATCAATTACAATGGTTTGTCTCTTGTAGATATATTAAAGTTTAGGAAGTAATGAGTTCAAGACGGAATACAAAGATTTTTTAAAGAATTTTATTAATATAATGAAATTTTAAATTATTCTATTTATTTAGTTAGCTTCAATTGAACAAAGTGCTATAAGTTGTTTAGTTTCTCATCGAGCTGATTTATCAAAAAGAGATAATCATGGTAAATAATTTTAGAAAAATCTCTTTTTCTTTTTGTTTTATCAAGTTTTTTCCTTAAGGGCGTACACCACTTCATCATGCTGCCATGAGAAATAATTATAATAATGCTAAACAATTGATTCAATTGGGTGCTTCGATTGATGTAAGAATTTTATGAAATAAAATCTCAAAGAATTATTGAAGTATAAGAATAGAAATGTAGACCTCCATCTCAGACTGCGATAGGCTACTTACGAGAGAACTTCTTCAAGTGTCAAATTGCTTTTTGATCAAGACGATGTTCATCTCAGGATAGGAGATACTAGAAAAGTTAGAAGTTCTCCAATGAACTAATCTCATTGAAAGCTTTGTTCATGCAAAGTTTGAAGTCGAAACTCGATTTCCCACGTGACCTAAGGGAGAAGAAAAATTCAGTAAAAGTTCGAAATCTAAACAACAAAAACTCGGAAAAGTCGAACCATTCTAGATTTTTGTATTTCTAATTAGTACTCATAAAATGAACATTGTGTCAGTCGGAAAGTACCTTGACACTTGTAGAGTTTACTTCATTAGTGACGCGCTCTCCATCATAGATAGTCTAAGACAGACTAATGAAGAAATCTTTTCAAATGATCAATCTCTTTCTCATTAAAACCTACTGGACTATGAGTTATCAACCATGTTGATTCTGAATATGGTCATAAGAAATCCCTTTAGATCTCTATCTGTTAATTTTCGGGATTAATACACATTTTATCAAAGTCGTTTTGAATCTACTCAGATTGCTGAACATATTGAGTTATCTGTAACACGATTACCGGATTTTTCTTATTGGATAACCTGCAATCGACTAATTTCCAATAAAAAAGCAATTGATCAGTTACAAGTGTCCTCTCGTTAGCCATGGAACTACAGTCTCGTGTGAGAGTGTTATGAAAGTAGATTGAACTTAAGATACTTGTCACTGACTTCTTGTCCAAACCCACTGTAACCTATTAAAAATAACTTCGATCATCGCAAATATATCTGCATGTTTAAAGTCCCAAATTGAGGCATGTATTGTAGAATCTTCTGATTTATAATATATGCACACTCATCCTGTTTCATATTTTACCATTTAACAATAGATTCGTGATGGAAACAATGCAACTCCACTTCATTTTGCATCTCGATATAATGCTATTGATTGTGTTCATTTATTTATTGAACATCGTGCTATTATTGATCAACAAGATGCTAATGGTAATACACCTTTACATTGTATTGCTTTATCTCAACAAGTTATATTAAATCACATAGAAGAAAATCATATGCTTCGAAATAGAATTGCTCATTTTCTATTACATACAGCTAAAGATTATCTTAAATTTTATCTTGAAATAGAAAATAAAGATAAAAAAACTGCATTAAGTATTGCTTGTGAAAATGGTAATATTAATTTAGTTCAAATTTTACTTATCTATGGAGCTAGTATTCATAATTATATGCCTATTCATATGACAGTAAAATCAGGTAATGTTGATATTATTCAATTATTACTTGAATATAAAGTTCAATTAACATTAATAAATATATATGGTGAAACTCCATTACATATTGCTTGTAAATATAATCGAATTGATATATTACAAATTCTGATTAATTATCAAAATGAAAAATTAAATTTAGAAGTTCGAGATTATCAAGGATATACACCATTATTAACAGCTAGTTATTTTGATCATCAAAATTGTATCAGAATTCTTTTGCTCAATAATGCAAATATTAGAGCAATTGATAATTATGGTAAAACTATTTGTGAGTATTATTCAAATGATATTGCAAATTAAATCTTGAGTTTTGTTTTTGTTTTTCAGTACATATTTGTATTGAACGACGTTGTCAAAATGCTTTAGAAAATTGTCTTACATGGATTAAAGAAGATGTTCATAGTTATAACATGTTTATTAAAGGTGATCGACATGGAAATACTATACTTCATGCAGGTATCTCATATTTAGTAATAGAAAATATGAAAAGAAATAGTTTTCATATTATTGATTTAAGAGCTGCATTGAGTTAAATTTTTTTTGAATAAGCATATTACTTACTTCGTAATCGTACAAGTATTTGTGAACAAAAAAGATGTTTTTTTTTCAACTTTGAAAAACTCCAATCACAGATACTCAACTGAAATTTTTAGTTATAAGTAACTAACAGACCTCGAAATGGGCAACTTTTTCATGACCCGGTCCGATAATATGCATAGGCCCAGGCCCAAAGAAAATTCCGTTTCAATAGATTTTGTTTTAATAAAATTTGAAGATTACTTAGGTAATTATCAATGTAATCAGGAACCAATAACTCGCGTCATAACGGACCTGATTAGGTCAGATCGTCGCAATTGAAATAGAACCAATGCGAGATGAGTTTAAGTACTTGTTGATTCAAACAAACAAACAAACAAAGTATGCGGTAATATGCTTTAGTCTCATCATCAATAATTCGACATCCTAGGATACGTAATCTTTTATTGGCATAAACCTGTGACAAACACGCCCTATTTATCAATGAAAACTTGCTGTTTCGATTTTGACATTTCAGCAAGGTAACACAGGCGAAAACAGTCTGTAAATAGAAAAAATATTTCGATAACTAAAACTTGGGGATTCATCTCCACGTTTTAGGTGTTTGATTTTTTTTCTGTTCACAGACTATTTTCTACTACGTGTTACTTTATTGGAACGCCAAAATCGAAAGCAGTGCCCGTTCGAAAAAATGGTGCGAAATCAATAATATTATCTTTTTTCCAGAAAATGTTATGCTTTCCATGGATTCAATCATTATTCAAAGTTGAAGCGTTACACAACCTGTTATGCGTGACTTCTACTGACGTTAGCTAAAGTGGTTTATACACTACAGGACATTACCTAGGGACGAGATATATGATCAGTTTAAGCAATTACTATGACTAATTATATTAATCTTAGTTGAAATGTACATAGGTTTCCTACTGTAAAACTTTGAACAATTTATGCTTTCTAAAATAGATAAAAAAAATTCAGAAAAAAACATAAAAACGTCGGACCATGCGGCCCGACATAAAATCTTACTTGGGCCGGATAGCCCGTTTCGAGGCCTGGTAACTAAATACTTTGTTTTAATACACGAGAGAAATCTCTCAACAAATTATTGCGTAGACCGTGTAACTTTACAGTAGTTCTAAATAAATACCGTAGTCCTTCACTGGAACATTAGAGAAAACTAATTTTTGAATTTCGACTTGAAACTTTGTTCAGAGATAGATCTTAATGAGAATAGTTTGTGATGAAAGTTTCAAGTCTTTTGATTTGCTTCTATCCTGAAATAAGAATATTGAATCTATCGTTACATATGAACAATATAAAAGATACACTTTTACTATAGCTGTATCTTAAGATCTGAAACTTTCACCATAAACTATTTCTAGTTAAGATCTATCTCAGTACAAAGTTTCAAGTCGAAATTTAAAAATGATGTAAAATTGCAATGTCTCTGCAGCTCAAAAAGGATTAATTATTTGGGAGACTTTCTTCGTCAATTATTAATCTGAATATAATTATTAGCTGCTAAAAATGGTTCATTTAAAACATGTGAAATATTAATTGATACAATAAAATATATTTTATTACAAACACAATTATCGTCTGATAATAGAAATTTATTTATTAAAAAATATTTATCATTAATTCTTAAAAAAAATATTGATAAACGTACACCCATACATGAAGCAGCTAAAATAGGTAATTTTTCAATGCTTAATTTTTTCTTTCGTATAATTAACAATGAAAATATAACAAATGAATATGAACAAAATAAAATTACACTTTGTGAAGATTTTGATGATGAACTTAAAACAAGTTTACATCTTGCTGCAGGTGAAGGTAAAATTAAATTGATAAAAAGAAAAAGAAAAATTATTTCATTATTCAAAGGTCATTATGAAATAGTACAATTACTTATTGATCAAGGTGCCAATGTTTGGTCATGTGATATGAATGAATCAACACCACTACATGAAGCATCTGAACATAATCGTTATCGTTGTGTTGAAATACTTCTTCATCATCATGCACCAATTAATCAATTTGATGGAAAACATAATACACCACTTCATCGTGCTAGTCAATATGGTCATTGGAAAATCGTTCGTTTATTACTTAATTATAATGCAGATGTACGTCTTACTAATTGTGATGGTTATAATAGTTTAGAAGTTGCTATTTTAAATAATCATCAATTAACTGTACATGAATTTCTTAATCATAAAACATGGACTAAATCATTACGTAATGCACAAGTACAAATGATGTTGAATAATAATATTAATAGTGTATATGAAAATTTATCAACACCATTAAGAAAACTTATTCGTTATATGCCAAATGAAGCTGATGAAGTTTTTACACGATCTATGATAGAAATAGGAAGTTCAGAAGATTATTCATATAAGATTATTTTTAATTATGAATTTCTTGAAGATCAATTTTCAATTTTTAAATGGAAACAAAGTAAATATTATTTTAATAAAACATAATATTAAACTTCATTTAAAATTCATTATAAGTTGTTGCTTATCTTCAAGGAAATTTTCTCACTACAAATTTGACGAGAAAAATCACTTTAACGAACATTTTCACCATTTGACTGAAGATAGAATAGATACCAATGATGGGTGAAGAATTACTCTAATTTATCTTTCGTTCATAGAGGATGTCCCAAAAATTCGTAAGAAAAGTGAAAGAAATTATTTATTAAAAAATTCAAGCGATTGGATTATTTAATATAATTTGGTTGAACAAAATGTGAATAATGAGTCTAACTAACTAAAGCACATAAATTCATCATTTTCAAAATATCAAAGAAAAAAATATATATTATATCAATATTGGTTTTCATTTTATATTTATTGAGAAAATCAATTGAAATGAAAATTTAATACATCCAAGAAAAATAAATCTCTAACTTTGATAAAAAAAATTTGTATATCAAATTGTGTTTGAAATACATGAAATTTTGTTTGTTTTTCCTTTCTAGCTTTACTCTCATTTTAACCTCATTCTACTCATACTAACTTCAAACCTTTTCTATTTGAGATTTAAAATGACTTCTTCTACTTTCATATTCCTATAGAAAAGCATAATATGATATTATCGATATTTCACATAAGTAATACGAAATTCATTGTGAGACAAGACACCACAGAATTAGTCGAGTTCAATGACATTAGTGTTTAACAATGACTTTTCATTCTATGAAAAACATTTCATTTCATATTGTGTATAGATACCACCCATATTCAATCAAGTGATATGCAGCCGATGAAAATAACAAAATGGAATCTATTATCATTTTTTAAATCTCGACAACAAGAAACTGAAAGAAACATAAAAGATACATCTCGACTTAATTCTCATGTATATACACTTCGACAAAATCATCCTCTTTATATGATTATTACCTATCATCAATATGATCTACTCAAACATCCACTTATTGATCGATTAATAAAACGAAAATGGGTTCAATTTAGTCGAACTTTTTTCTGGATTTTATTTCTTTTCTACGGTATTTGTAGATTTTATTAAATCTTCAGACTTTATTTAAATACGAAGCAGAACCAGAAGACTTTAATAGATCAAGACCTACCCTAGATTTGGCTATTGTAGGCTAGGTTATCCTCAAACATTTATTTCTTGTTCTATCACATTGATAGACTTAAATTCGATTCTGGTTCGAAATTGTTTTTAAAATTTTTTTTCATATGAATTTATCTCAGAGATGTCCATCGCGCCGCTGCCGAGGCACGATTTTTTTGCATAAATTTACTCTATAATTCTAAAAAATTTCTAGCTTCACAGCTGAAATGAAACTAGTCTTTCACATAAAGTAGACAAATTAAATTCTTTTTCTAAATGTTGCATTTTACGGTGATTTTAAAGTGCGGAGACTAATAAAAGCTTATCTAAGTTAATTACGTTGGTACGAGAAATATACTGATTACAATATGAAAGTGTTTATTGTGTTGTCTTACGTCTAATAGATATTTTTAATATTATTTTCAGTTCATGCTTTGATTGCTAAAATCTTTTTCCATTATTTTTCTGTATTAAAAACGCCAATTATGACAAATAGTCGAATTAATCTGTTTATTTTAATGTTACTTTTTTATATTTTTGCAGATCTAGACCTATCAAACTATCGCAAATTGAAAATGAACAACAAGAGTTTATTAACATCGTGCATATTAATACATTTTATAATTAATTTTCTTCTTTAAATTAGAATATAGAAAGGCACATGACATGATTCTTTGTAGGTTTGAAATACTTGCTATACTTGTTCTATATATACTTAGAAGTTATTTGTTACTATAGCATCTAAATCGTTATTCCTCATTGATTTCGAGTGAAAACCAGACTGCATGACTATTGTAGACCGACAAATGGCATTTTTTCTTCATGTAATGATAGTAGCGGTGCTGTAACCTTTTCTTCAAATATCGCTGCAACAGTGGCAATGGTTTTAGTATGTTGAGATGCAGAAGCACCGCGGCAACATGTATTTTATATAATACAGCGGCGCGGCAGTGGCAGGTTTTCAGTCGCGATGGACATCTCTGATTTATCTGTTCGAATAGTTTTGATTAATTTTTACGAAAAACATTTCGGAATATTAAAAAGACCATTGTTGAGTCCGAGTGCGAAAGATCGTACTCGTGTAGTACCCTCATCTCTAAGTTCACGCTTTTTAATACTAGAAGCAATGAAACCATGAGTGCAAGAAATTTCAGCATATGAAAGAAAAATGATGGTAAAGGTTGTCCATAGAGGTACGGATAAGAATAAGCACAAGACCAACATCCATATCCACACCTATATTTATTCATTGGTCTTTCAATAGACGTCAAGTTTACCTTCATTTTTTTGTTTACTAGACTTTCCTGAAGGAGATCATATAAAGATTGTTGAACCTACTCTAGATTTAAAACGTCCTATCGCCTATATTTCTTTATGATAATATATTCATAATTACTATGTTTGTTTCTAGGTTTTTTCTTAGCATCATTCACTTCTACAATACTTCGTGTACATCATCCACAATATTATTATTCTTTATTTAATGCATCAATTTCAACGGTTAGTTGTGAAACCATATCATTAAATCTTCTTCGACATGAATCATTTATTTTAACAAAAAAAAATTTTTATGATACAATGATAAAATGGCTTTTATTTAGTACAATATTAATTCATATTATTAAAAATCTTTTATTAATTTGTATACGTTTTAAAATGTTTTTTGGTTTATCGAATATTTTAGAATTAATTGCATTAATTTTAAGTATTATTTTTTCACATGATTTTTATTCATGGCAAATGTCAATTCGTTTTCGATGTTCATTTCAATGGCAATGTGGAGCATTTGGAATTCTTATTGGATGGATAACATTGAGTAAATTAATTTTGATTTTATATTAAAATTTATCGATAGAATTCAAATATAGAAATCATGAATTGTCTAACAGTAAAATCTGAAGAATATTAAAATTTTATTATTTGACATTATTGTTGTTATTTTTTTTTTAAAGAAAGTTTAGGAAATATCTCAGCAGTAACCGGATTCTGTGAGTTCTAAACTCCTAGAACTCTCAATAGTGTAATTTAATTCATATAATTCTCTAAGAGGTGTGGATGTTTGTTATCAAAAATAGTGAAAAAAAGAATTATCATATGCCTGAACAGAGTTAGATGCACGATGAAAAAAATTTCCCCTGCACTACTCTAATGATGGTGCCACAAGCGGCAATATTTGTCTCCATATACTTCAAAAATTAAGAAGATTATAATTAATGTAGAATTAAAATATAGACTGAAATTTGTTAGATTGTAATTGCTAAAACGAAATATCAATGCTTATTCTAATATTTTGTTTTTAATTTGAAATTGAATAGATTTATTATTATTTCTTTTTTTTTCTTTAGTAATTTATATTCAATTTCTATCGGCTTCAGGTATCTATGTCATCATGTTAGAAGTAATACTTCGAAAATTTCTTCGTTTTATTCCAATTTTAATTATATTTATTCTTGGTTTTGGTTTATCATTTCATATGTTATTACAAAATCAAAATGTTTATCATCATACATTTGATGCAATAATTCGTACAATATTAATGCTTACAGGTGAATTTAATTATGAAGAACATTTATATCGTCAAGAAAATGAAAATAATCAATATTATTATCAAATAATATTTTTACTTTATATATTATTTTGTATATTAATAACAATATTAACTATGAATTTACTTATAGCAAATGCTGTTGGTGAAATTCCACCATTAATTGAACGTGCTAATGTTAAATATTCAATAATGCGTATTAAATTAATAACAGATTATGAAATATTTTTATCAACATTTGATTTTATAATTCCATATTTAAAAAAACGTGTCAAATATTTAATTGATAATAATCAAAATGAAATTATTTATCCAAATAAAATTCATCGATATAAACATAAATATTATCATATTAAAAAATTTTTTACTGATCAAAGAAAAAAATCTTTATTAAAAACAAATGAACAAAAATTTATATAAATTTTATAAAAAATAATAATAAAACTACACTATACCATTGTTCTTCTTTTTCGTGTCAAAATCAATTTTTTCATAATGAATAAATCGACTTGAGCATATCAAATAAACAAAAGATAAAAGAATTCTTACATATCTAATAGATTTTATTTAATCTGACGTATGTATCTATGATATTGAATTGTTTCTTTATGCGTATATACGAAAAAATAGTTCAAATCTAGGCCGAAATAAATTCATTCATCTTTCGAGTCAAAGATGATTATAAGGTTTTGATTCACAAATGAAATATATGGGAGTGACCAACTTGAAGGATGCCCCATTTTGATACACTCCTATTGTAAGGATAAAACATACTATTGTTCGGGTCATATAAGAGAGGATCCTAGATAACCCTTGATTGGCCCGAACAACATCATGTTTTATCCGTACAATAGTAGAGAAAAGCGACCAACTCACACGATAAGCTAGTAGCTTTTCTCAACTATTGTACGGATAAAACATGATGTTGTTCGGGCCAATCAAGGGTTATCTAGGATCCTCTCTTATATGACCCGAACAATAGTATGTTTTATCCTTACAATAGGAGTGTATCAAAATGGGGCATCCTTCAAGTTGGTCACTCCCATATGTTGGTTAGTAGAGGAAGACTTTCCTCTATTTAATGAAGTATACAAGCGTGTCCTGAGCGAAAAATCGTGGAGGTCATTCTCCTATCCAATCTTGAGAAATTCAATCAAATTTTATTGAATACCATCAATGTATCAACATAGGGTGCTAACTTTGCTGTCGAATACAACGATGGTAGCGTCTCGTATTTACAACTCAGGGGTATGCAATAGAAATTGATAATTCATACAGCATCCGATAGAAGAAACCTTCTTCTACTAACCTACGTAGATCTCATGATGAAGTCAAAAATCATCATGACACTTATAGCATACTGTGCAAAAATAATAGCATAAAATGTTGATCCATATTTTTCTTCGATAGAAGAGTGCTGAAAGAAAAATTTGTTTTACCAAAAGATAGAGTTTTTCCTTCTCTTTCGATCAATATGTAGTTTATTTTTAATATACATTCGTAAATGAAATGAGACAAGAAAGAAAGAAAGACACTGGCGCAACAACTTTGCAAGTTTTTTATAAACTCGTCAATAACATCTTCTAGATGATAGTTAATCATAATTAACTGACATCAACAAGATGATTTTAAAAAGTTCGCAAAAGTCTAACTACTGACTTACAAGATATTTATGACAAGTTCATACAAAAATTGCAAATTTATTGCATGACTATTCTCCTTTCTTTCTTATCTCATTTCATTTACGAATGTATATTAAAAATATACTGTTCGAAAGACGAGAAAATTTTCTATCGATTGGTAATAAAATTTTCTTTTGGAAACGTATTTATTGAAGATTTATTCAAGAAACAAGGAAATCAATATTTTTTGCCATTTTTCTAAATTTCACGAAAAGTGCGAAATGTTTTTAAGGGTGCTCTTCTTTTTTTTGTTACAGTGTTTCATTTATAAACGTGGTAGAAATATAAGTTATATATAATTCGAAAGAGGAGAAAAAGCTCTATCTTTTAGTAGAAAAAGTTTTTCTTTCAGTACTCTTCTATCGAAGAAAAATATGGATCAAACATTTTGTGCCATTACTTTTGCATCATATATTATTTGCCTTTTCTCTATTAGACGCTTCATTTTCACTTTAATTTCTCATTTTAATGGACAGTGTGACATGTAAAGCAAGATATTCAGATATTGATTTAGAACAGTTAATGTCTTTTCGGTGACGAGTATAAAGACATATTAGGATTGAAGCCACGTTGGAAAAGCTCTGAAGTATGAATCACAACCTATTCAGTTTTTTTTTCTCATTAACCGAAGTCGAAGTTATTTACCCGGAACCGATCGAATTCCTGAACTATTTTTTTTGACTTTTCTCGGCAAAAAATGCCCAATAACAAACCGTTACAAACTCTGATTCGATTTGAAAATATGCTTTGTGATTATGATCGTCTCCATTTACCAAAATCCTAGATATTCGTTACTGAACTCGATAGTAATAAAGTATTTTTTTTTGTGATCATTAGACAACATTTGAAAATATGTTTGTAATCCTTATTATGACAAAACGAAGACATTTTCACTATTGACATTCTTGAAAAGACGTTGACATGGAAATAGCGAAGAAATTCTTTATTTTAGATTGACTATTCAACAATTGAATGTAATAACCAATTAAATTATAATTTAAGTCGTTCCGTTTCAGTCAGTTGTAGGAAAGGTAGGGTAAAGAAAGCCGAGTGCCCAGATTTAGATTCAACACGATTTCATCAAACTTTAGATGTATCTGAAATTTTCTAGCTGTCGGATCTAACAACTTATCCCGGAAACTTCCGATAAGATTCAAATAGAAGTTATCCGATTCATTGAGGTTTCCTATAGGATTCGATAGTGTCTAAGTTCTTTGTCCTTGCCAACGTAAAATATGACTGAAGCGCTTCTCTGTTCTTTTTCTTCTTCTTAATGATCAATTCAAGGTCATCTTCATACATATTTATATGACATCGAAATAAACAACGTATAAATAAACATTGATCAATGCCCTATAAGATGTAACTGTATCTCAATTTATTCAAAAAATTTGAACATCTTATTGTTTATTCGTTATGAACGGAAGTTTCAATGTGAGAAAAATCAACATTATTCTCAATAAAAAGAAATAGAAGGTTCTATATTTATATCTTGTTGATCTAGATGATTATCCAATGTTTACTGACGCAATTGATATTTTCTTTTTCAACGCTAACAAATCATGCTATTCACACGAAATTACTTTGTATTTTTAACACGAACTATGCTTGAATGTTAATGAGAGGACAAGGAAATTTCACGTGCTTCTCAAAACAATTATCGCTTGATAATTATCCATTGCAATTAGACAAAAACAAAATAATAATATAACCTATTATTTGAAGTGGTTTCATTAAACAATAGAATTATCGTTCGAATAAAATCGAATGATAATAACCATCATCATATAGTTGAAATTCAAGGAATTTATTCTATCATAGATTAAAATAACATTAAAAAAAAAATACAAGTCTTCTGAAAAAAAAAAAACATTGTGATCAACAGTCATAGTTTCGATTTTCAAAGATTACTTAATCAATTTATCTTATACTGTATTCACATCATACTGTTCAATCTGCTTCTCGTTTTGAATTGGTCATCATAAAACTCAATATCCAATTAATATTTTCTTTTCTTTTTTTCGTTCTATTGACTGATGAAAGGTGTTATTCCCATGGTTAAGATCAAAGAATAAGAAGCAACCATATCTCATTGTTGCACCTGCACATGTCATATATCCAATTTTTTTCTCGTATGTTGAGAAATACAAGCATATGAAAAGAAAAAAGTTGACGGGTATGATCAATATATGAATCAACAATAGCAAGCAGGTGAATCTATTACTATTTCTTTTACTTATTACTGTGTTAAATATGTGTATGTTCATGAGCAGCTCCGCCTACTTAGTATAGACACTTGAACATTAGTAATATTCAATGTCGGGAAAAAAAAAAAGAAAACTACAAACGATTATAATGTTCATTCAAGTGCTTATGAACATGCTTATACATCCATGTACACACACGTATGTTCATTTAATAGAATAATATTCGACTTTTGTCTTAGGTACAATACAATACGATAGGATGGAGGGCAGATTTATTTTAAAATCGAAATAAATAAGCATATAAGACCTTTGAACTAATGTGAACATCTATTCTCTTGATGCGACTGTAAGTAATCATTAAGTGTTACTACCCTCCAGCTATAATTGACTTATAGTATTTCCGTAATGGATATTGCAGAAGAGAAAAAAAAAAAAAAAAAATTGAAAATTTCATTTTCGTTTACAATCAGCCTTGTGAAAAAAGATCAATACATACTTTATATATAAATATATATGTGCATCGATTTTTCAAAGAAAAACGACAACAAACTTGAATGCACACCATCATATAGCTACTGTTCTTTTCTTAAACAAAAGGTGATAATTGAAAAGCTGTGTGTATATACTACCTTAGGTATGACTTTAATTAGACATGCGATACTATTGTTCTTATGAGCGGGTATTTTGATCTTTGTATAAAAATTTAACAGAATGAAAAACTAAAATAAATTGAAAAAATATGTGCATTGATATTATTGCTCGATCATGATAACTAGGAACTTCTATATTTGTGTGATTATTGATATCAGTGAATGATGATCAACTAACAAGTTCAAAGACATGAAAACTTTTTCTTATTATCAAAATGGTAATCTTGCTTTTCTTCTATCTACAATATGAAATTCAAATGATAACTCTTAATAATATCTGAAATTACAGTTATTTTATAACTGATCGGTACTTTTGAATTCTGATGTTTTCTTCAGCTATGGAATATTATTTTCATTTCAATACATTTATTAATGAATAAATTAAAGGAAAGATTCAAATGTTTATGGACAGTTTTTGTGTATAAATCTATTCATAATTTTACGAATTCAAACTTAATCTATCGATTAAAATGTCATTACTCTCTATAAATTCATCGATAATCATCTGAATACAACATCGATCTACAAACTAGGCCGAGTTTTATTTTAGTTTCCGCTTGAGTTGGGATGCTTCCAATCTCAGATGTGAGATTCGCCTAGACTGATCCGAATTGGGATGCTAACACATACATAGAGAATTAGGGGTGAAGAATCAATCATCGTCTATTCTACCACATCTTCTTTAGTTAATATTCATCATAATCATGTAAAAATTCCTCGTTTCATCGACACTTTTTATTAAAAAAAATATAACTCTGTTATAGTGACAACAAAATATTATTGAAATGTTCATCTTATGATAAACAAATCTTTTTCATATCGTTTGATTAAATCAAAAGTTCGTTCATTCTGAAAAACAAAATTTTTTATTTCGTGGAAATTTGTTCATATTGTTATCAAGTCATCAATCACTACATATAAGTCAATGATGCAAGCCTTCTATTCTGGATATATCAAGGAGTACACATCTTTAAAATGTTCGATAATGTCATAACTATTAAGTTTATTTCTTTCTCTCCAAAGTAAGAAGAGCAGAGTTCGCTGGTTCCAAAAGTTACCCGAAATCGTTAAATCATCAGTTAGATAGCAAAATTTAAAATATATTTTGAGAGGTATGAAAAAATAAAGATTTCTCAACATAGATTTAAGAATGTTTGTATCTATCTGATGATTCAACAATTCCAGTCTTTTTGGAAGTGCTAAACTCTAGTGTGAATGGATTATTAAATCTTCTCTACACCCACACTCGTATCTCCTATACATTTGGTAGAACCATTAAGCTAACGATTAAATATTGATTACAATTAGTTAAAAACAAATGTAAAGGGACGAATTTATTAGGAATGTATATGATCCCGATCGGGGTGCTACTATATATAATCTTAGTGCACTACTTGCTTTTAAGCAAGAATAAGTACATTCATACAAACTAATTCTTTCATCTATATATTTAGTCATAACATGATGATTTGATCCTAATTAGTTTATATAAAAAATGATGAGTATAGTTATTATTGTTATTTAAAATAACATCATAAAATATGTTCACATACAACAACTTTTCTATTGTCGATTATGTAAGTATACATTAAAACTTGTGAAGAATATTTAAAAAATTCTCATGAATTATTAGATAATTTATATATTGAAAATCACACACATTACTGTACTAATATATATATATATGTATATTTTTCTATATATATGGTTTCCAAAGTTTTGGTGATGATGGACTTAAAGAATCTGATGATATACTTGATGATGAACAAGAATCATTAATAATAATTTGAAGATATTTTGGTTCAATTATTCGTCGTTGATAAGGATGATGATGATAATACATTAATCGACGATTTGTCCACATTTGTCGACAACGATTAACTAAACATTGTCGTTGTTCAGGATAAATATTTGGTACTGAATGAATTAATTTCCATATTTCTTCTGAACATTGTCTATAACCATTTTCATAATTTTCTATTGAATTATTCATTCGTTGTTTTAAATTTCGAATATAAGTTACCGTCATTTCAAGTATTTCAGCTTTTTCTAATTTTTGATATCGTGCTCTCTAGATAAACGAACGAGGGAAAAAAAAAACATCATGATTTATAATTATATTAAAATCGTATTTAAAAAAAAATTTTACATCATCAGTTAAAGCTATAAGATCTTTTAATTCATCAAGACTTTTATTAATACGATCACGTCGTTTTTTTTCTACACATGTTTTAGCAAACTAAATAAAAAACAATAATTGAAAATTGTACAAAACAAAAAAATAATAATAATTTACTTTTCTTGAATTTTCCTCTGAGAGATCAGTATAATCATACATTAACATCATAACTTTTTAACTTAAAATGTATTTGACAAAGAATATTGTTAATGGTCAAATGAAGAAATTTTTTCTTTTAAATAAACACAGAGAGAGAGAGAGAAAAAACGAAAAAAAAACGATTGGTCACACTGTTCGATAATCTTTCTTCTACACGAACGAGAGGAGACACATGCATACAAAAGATAGATGTTTATTTTATACCAAAAGAAACCTTGTCTATGTATGTTTACACATTCACAGGTAGTGATCTATGAGTTCTAGAATAAAAACATTACACGAAACCAGTTGACTAATATTGATGAGAAAATTATTTAAAAAAAAACAAAAAAAAATTTAACATTATTTTGTTTGTTTTTATATTATCAGCGGCTTTACATATGTATTTTGTATTTGATCTGAACAAGATATGAAGTGCGTACCATATGAACATTTGTTTTAATTGAACGAATTTTACACATACTTTCCCATGCTTGAGAAAAGAAATCGATTGGCTTCAAAATCGATGTGTAATATTTCTTTTTCTTTTTTATCAATCTACTTGAACGATAGACACCTCAGTAATAATAAGTGGCAATGATGAAACCTTACAAAAAAAGACACTTTTACTGATGAACTTCATCACTATGTTTGATGTACACACTTGAGAAAAAACATTTTTTTTCTTCAAGTATTATAATATATGCGTTAAAATCTACGTAAAATTTGTTTTTTTTTTGTTTTATTCAATATGAAAATATAAACTATACTAGTCGTTACATATAATTAAATAGATTGATTAAGTCACAAAAAATAAATGAAATTAAGAATCAAAATTTATAGATGTTGTTATAATCTTATGATTGAAATTATAATATGATAATGATTATGTGTCATGTAATTTAAGTGAATCTAATTTTTTTTTTATCCATGATATTCTATCATTTCCCCAAAATGGTTCATCACGTACAATAAATGTTGGTACACCAAATATATGATCTTGTTCAGCTTCATTTTGTGCATTTAAATAATCTTGTTGTCCTTGATTATTAACATAAGTTTGAAAATCTTGAGAAAATTTTTCAAATGATACATTTTTATTTGATGTTTCATAAAGAAGTTTAGTTATTTCATTAATATTTTCAAGATTTAATTGACGTTTAAAAAAAAGTTCAAATGTACGAAGAGCGTATAAATGAAAAAAATTATGTTTATCAGCATATAAACCACCAATTAATGAAAGACGAGAATCAAATAAACGTTCTGGTCCACGAATAATTATACCACGTGCATTAGCAAGACGTCGANGCATCAGTTTTATTCAATCGATAAATAATGAAAAAATGATTATCGTCTCTTCCATTTCTGATACATCACAAATATTACCTCATATTGCAAGTCTACCTCAAATTGACAGCATCTTTGCCTTCAACTGGGAAAAAGTCGATCGAGAACATTTAGTTCTTGAACATTCAAAACTTATTGGCATCTATGATGAACTCGATCTATTGTGTTTATCAATTCAAGAACAAATCGATTTTATTCACCGACATTTATGTACGTTCAGCTTCTGCGATCAAAATGAATATTTGACAAAAGATCTATCGAAACAAACTGCCGATCTTCTTTGGTTTCAACTTTATCATGATGTTCTTTTTGAGTTAACACATGATGAAAAAGCTAGACAAGAAATGATCGATGCTTGTCGTTCCTACTATCGAGACAATATCAAAGAATTGGAAGTGATTGACAAGTTTGAAAATGAATATCGATCAGAAGAAGCTCTTCAATGGTATTTGAGAAAATCATTTCTCTACAAAATTATCAGCAAAGCATTAAGAACCAAAGATTTCGATCAGCTGTACACATTTCGGTATTTTATGAAAGATCTTACAGAATGTCTCGATCAAGAATATCAAAAGATTGTTGAATCTGGTACAGAAATATTATTCATGTATCGAGGAATGAAACTGACTAGTGATCAAATCGAGAAATTCAAAGAAAACGAAAGTAAACTTGTTTCAATCAATGGATTTTTCACAACAAGTAGTCTTCGTTCAACTGCATTGAATCAAGCAATGAAACTTTCGAAAGACACTGATCTCATCCCTGTTCTCTTAAAAATCCAATACCATCTACAACATCTGAACAACAGTGGCATTGTTGCTGGCAACGTTCATTTCGGTGAATCTACACATGAAGGAGAACAAGAGATTCTGTTCGACTTAAATATCACTTTTCGATTGGAGAGTGTGAAAATGGAGGAAGACATGTGCTTAATTGAAATGAGTGCATCAAATAAAGGTCAACTTATCAAAGAAAAATTTATCGAAGATTCACGTCGTCAAATGGAAAATCTAAGCACCAGAATTCTGTTTGGAAGATTGATGTGTGATATGGGTCAATGGAATCAATCACAACATTTCTTTGAACATTTATTGAACAACTCGAATATCTACAATGAAGATCTTACAAAGATTGAATGCAGTCTTGGTGAGGTTCTTCAATGGAAAGGAGAATGGAATGAAGCACGGAAATATTATAATCGTGCTTATGATCGGATAATGAATGTGAAACCCACACGAATCAAGGATTTAGCTGATATATTCTTGAATATTGGTAAAATTTTCTATCTAGAAGGAAAGTACGAAGAAGCTCATGATTACTATGAACGAGCATTGATCGTGCGACAGGAAAATTATTTTTCTATGCAGGTTAATAAGCCTTGTGCACCGAATTGTCGACGCCGTAATATGCTGAGTCGTATTCGTGCGTCGTTCCAGTCAGTTTTATTGAGTTCAGGCGGATTATTTCATCCATGTTCCGGACGACTTTGGACTAGAAAATTTCGAGGAACTTCTCGTTGGTTTCGTTCGAAATATGCGACAAACAGAGCGGAGCCTGTTGACGAACAGTCAAGCCAAACTTCCTTACAAGAAATGTGTCGAAACTTACAGGAAACTGGTTGGTTACAATTGATGGAGACTCACTTGGATAATTATGTGCCTATTGCTATAAGTCTTCATAGTTTCGGAAAAATCCTCTTTCGACAAGCGAAGTATGATGAAGCACTTATCTTTCATAAACAAGCACTGACAATGCTCGAAGAATATTATCAATGTCCTCATCTTGACATCGCCGTTTGTCTTGGCTATATTGGTCAGGTTCTTACATATAAAAGAAAATATGACGAAACTCTTGATTTCTGTCAACGAGCAATGTCCATCTATACAAAATACTATCCAAATGGTCATGTATACATTGCCTCCACCCTCAATTATATTGGTTACGTTCTCTATCTTCAAGGCAAACATGATGAAGCTCTGAAGACTTATGAACGAGTATTGGCAATATTACAAAAGTATTATCCATCGGACAATGTCAAGATTGCCGTTTGTTTCACTGCAATAGGAAATGTTCATTATGAACAAGGGAAATATGATAAAGCCATTGAGTTTCAGAAACAAGGACTGCAAATTCTACAGAGATATCATTTTCCTGGCCATGACGACATTATTTGTACTCTAAATAACATTGGCTATATACAAAAAGAACAAGGAAAGTATGATGAAGCTCTTGATTTTCATCGACGAGCACTAGCACTTCAAGAGAAATATTATCCATCTTATTATGGTAATATTGCTAACACTCTCAATCACATATTTGGTGTATTATTCTGTCAATCGAAATATGGTGAAGCTCTATGCTACGGTCAACGAGCGTTAACAATGCAAGAGAGCTATTATCCTTCAGGCAATGCTTCAATAGCCTCGAGCCTCAATAACCTTGGCAACATCTTATATCAGCAAGGAAAATATGATGAAGCTGTTGATTTTTTTCGGCGAGCACTAGCAGCTGTCGAAAAATACAGTCCATCTGATTATTCTTCTATTGCCTTTTATATGAACAATATCGGGATGACACTATGCAAGCAAGAAAAATATGATGAAGCTGTTGATTATCATCGAAGAGTACTCGAAATGCAAGAAAAATATTGTTCATCTTGTCAGCGCGATATTGCCAATACTCTCAATTACATCGGTAATGTTCTCATTAGACAGAAAAAATACGATGAAACCATAAACTTTTATAAACGTGCACTCAACGTGCAAGAAAAATATTATCCAACTGGTCATGTGGACATTGCGACAACCCTCATTAATATTGGCACAACATTTCGTCAACAAGAAAAATTTGATAAAGCTGAAGAGATTTCTCGTACTTCTTTTGTTTATATAGAATATCACCAAGGAAGCTGAAAGTATAAGAAATATCAATGTGACCATCAGGATAGAAGTTCTCTTGTATTGAAAGTGCCCGTCGGTNTTGGGGTTCATACTTATTCAATGCAGTTATGAACTAAGATTTGACAAAGAATAAATGAAGTTATGCAGCTAGTTTAGTATCAGTAGAATTACAATCAAATAATAAGAACACAACTAATGAAATGTACCGGGAAATGTAAAGTTAAAGTAGAACTGTTTTCTCTTCATTTGATATATGATTACATAGAGCGGATGAGCTGACCAAGAATATACTAATTGTTTCTCCTCTTTTGGAATAATTCTGAAGCAGAAAAGTTTTATTTTTCCGATGATCTTGTCTTTTTGAAAAAATAGATCATTTTTTTTATTTGCATCACATTTCAGACAATTCATTTATGAATGACTTTTTTGTGAAATTTAATTTTTCCTGTTGAATTTGAAAAAAACAACAGTTTTAAACTTTACAGTTAACAGCAATACTGACAATTTACCAGATAAGTGAGTCATGAGAAAAAAACTGAAAAACTTCCTTCAAACACTCATACCAGGAAACAAAATGAAAACATCTATACTGTTGATCAGCTTGTCACGCTATATCTAACCCTATTAAAAAAATCTGCTTTAGTTTTGCATTGTCAATGCCTTGTGCATTTCTTCTTCAGTCACTCGGAATAAGATCTGTAGAACGGACAACTAGAATGAATACGAACGTTATTCATAATTGTTTCGAATGAATTGACAAGAAACACATCCATGGGCTGTGTTTTTACTGTTTAATTGTAAGTTTAATAAAGATAATCAAACAAACGGATCGATTTGCTTTTAAATCAGCTGCATTGATTTATTTATTAATTAATATTTTTGCTAGAGAATGAGAAAAACATGAAATATGTATTACAGAATATTAAAGAAGAATTTCTCAGCCAGTAGAAATGCTCAAGCAGATAAAGTAACTTATCTGTAGTATTCGACTGAATTACTAATGTAGATAAGATTGGCAGATGACATTGCGTGGTTTCTTTGAAACAAAAAACAACAATCGATATTTTAAAATACCTTACAATATCGAAACAGAAGAGAAAATTTCTGCCTCACCTACTAATTATTGTTTTCACGATTTAATATAATTTCACTACAATTTTTTTAAAGGATGACTACTCGTCGATGAGTAAAGAGATACATCAGTCGAAAAAGAAGAAGAAAGCGCCGAAAGAAGATGTGGAGCGTTCGAATCAGGAAATAGTGATCACGTTGGATACTACAGACACGCATGTTCAAGGAAACATAAAGCATGACGAGGTCAGCATGCAAAATGACCAAGAAGAAACATTGCACGAAATTCGCAAGACAAAGTTGAAAAGAAATACCAAGCGCAAAAAGAACAAGACGGAAAGTCAATTATCATACCCATCTGATGAACAAAAAGCAGATTTGCATGAAGAACAATCTGATGACAATCAAAGACAAAGAGTAGAAGTAAAGGAGAATGGCCGTGTTGCAACTGGTCCACTATTGAGTGAAAGATATCAAGTTGCAGGAGGTCTCCTCATAGACATAAATCGACAAATTTTCACTGAACTGAATATTACTGGCACGAATTTTTCTCCGATCATAGGATATGCCAAGGAGCCTTTATTGTCATTATCTGAAGCATGTGCTCCATTGATCGATATTCTTCATAGCTTATCAGTCTATCTGCAACTAGCACTAGACGAAACTCCCGAAAATCCACCTGATGGGTTGACAATTGATGAGAGCGCTGCGGTTCGTCTATATACTATCGAATGGGAAAGACCACATCGAAGCCTGTATTCAATGCTCAATCGCACTCTGAAAGGCGGTAATCGCGAAGAGCTTCTGCCTTATTTTAGATATCTAAAGTTATTCTTGACTGGACTAGTCAAAATTCCGTGTGTCCCACCACTGACTGTCTGGCGAGGAGTTCCAAAAAATTTGAGCGCGGATTTTCCACCTGGCACTCCAGTGACATGGTGGTCATTTTCTTCATGTACGACATCATTGACTGTCTTGGAGAATAACATGTATTTGGGCAGTACAGGAGCGAGGACTCTGTTTTCTGTTGAAGCCATCAATGGACGGATAATACGTGCCCATTCACATTTTGTTACAGAAGAAGAGATTCTTCTCCTACCTGGTACTCATATGATAGTGCAATCACAATTGAGTCCAGCATCTGATCTCTATATTATTCACTTGAAACAAGTCATACCGGAGCAAACCTTGCTTGAGCCTCCATTCGAAGGTAAATTGCATGATACCAGTTCTACATTCTAAATATCAAATTTTATCTTTTTAGGTGCACATCTATATCCGGAATTGAAGTGAGTTTCATTTTGTTTTTATCTAAAGATGTTTTCGATATGAAGAACGGTAATTGCATTTTGCAGACGTGCCTGGTATACAAAGAAGCGGTTCTTTGTGCCTATGTGCTTATTTATAATTCTATCGATCGGAGCAATCATTATCGGTTCTGTTCTTGGAACACGAAAACAAGCCAACAACCCAAGTATGCTTTTTCTTTTCTATTACTTTCGTTTGCAGTTAGAACAACTCTGTATACGTTATCTTATATCAGGCTCATTGAACGTATATCGACAGATACTCGACGACACATATATAACTCGATTGAGCTTGTATTCAATATACTCAAAAGTTCATCTTGACAAGCTCACAAGAAGTTCTTATAATTGCTAATAAATATTTGAAAAACAAAGTTTGTGTTGAGTCGAAAACCGATCGGTTATGTTTAATAATTGAATAACGTATAAGAGGGTTTAACTCACATTTAACTCTTCCAATTTAAGATGAATACGAAAATCCTCTATTGCCTGAATAACATTGGCTAAGTCATAGCAGACAATGATTTTTTAAATAATTGAGTCGAGAACATTGATGTCGCATCCAGAACTATCACAATCAAGTGAAGTTGATAATGCGAACTATTGATATAGTTGTTATAACTAATGTAAAAACTTCGAATGTGTTTAAAAAGAAATAGTAATAGATCACTTTTGCCTTATAAAAAATTCAAATTTTACGTTGAAGCGAAGATTGGTAGCGTTATTCAAGCATATAAATTCTTATAACATCGTTGTCTACATCTCTAAATTTGAGTATACTTAAAACAGTCTTTGGCACGAATTCTAGAGAAAAGAAACTATCTTTTTCTCTGTCCTCCTCACGAGCTAGCACTATTTATCGAAGAACTTCAAAGCACCTTATAGAAAGAACCTAGAATATGGCATTGTCCATGCGAGAATTTGGAACAGATATCAATTTAAGCTTGTTCTATAGAAGATTAGTATTCTAAATACCTTGCGGCAAATGCAATATTACTACAGATAGGGGAAATGGAATATAATTTCCTATAATAAAATCCCGTGTTAGATGGAATCTCCACAATTTCGATTCCTACTTCCATATTATCATAAAGTTCAACATCAGAAAAAGTACCTTCCACATC